GTTCAGATCTGCACACTCACCTGATCTCTGGGAATAGGGGCAATCACTTGTGAGACAGCTGACAAGATATAAAGAAGCTGCCCTGGGCAATAAACACAATCTGTACCTGCAGAACAGCTCTTCTTTATGACAAAAAGTGACACAAAAGGTGAGCAGGGAGGGGGGTTATAGTTCAACGTAAGTTTCTATAAAAGACTGGTAAGCAGCCTCTACAAAGAAGCAACTTCTCCAGGAAACACATTTTTCTCTAAACAAGGAACTTCTTTTAGAAAAACCTTTTCTCATTTGCTGATCTGTTCTACTACTCATGCTTTCCAGACATGTCAGCAATCAAGACAACTATCAGATGCAACTGACAAAAATTATTAACACTAAAGAATGGTGAAATAATCCACACACACATATTGATGCTAAGAATTACTCCCAGAGGCCCATGGATTCCATAGTCCATAGATTAATCTTCAATTGTACGCAAAACTGTCTGTTTATTGCATTGTTGAGGCAGAGTCCATAGCTTAGATTCACAGTAGTCTGTGCATTAGAAGATAAGAACCATGGCTGTAATATAAGGGACAATCAAGACAAACAGGTCAACATTCAATCAACTGACCTTGCCTATCACCCTGTTCTCTACTGCTCCTAAAGACAAATTTAAGAAACAGGAGTTTACCAGTTGGTACTATGTACCATACTAGTGTGCTCCAGAGTATGTGTGAAGTTTTCTAGTCTTCTCAGTCATCTCTTCCCACTCACTTTGTTTGGTCTTATCTAAAACTAGCACAAACACACCACCCACCAATAATGAAAATGGTATTTTCTCAGAGACAGGAGACTAGGTGAGAGGGACAAAGATAAAGGAACAGAGTAAAAGAAGAGGAAAATTCCTTTCTCAAAGAGCTAAAGTCAGGAACCACATAAGACAGAAACAAAACAGACTTCTAACTCAACAAGTTTTTCTAATCTTCCAGATGGGTCTTAACTGATTAAAGAATTCAGACCTCATTTTCTTTCTTGATCTTCCTTCTGCATAAGAATGGGTCATTTTCTATAAATATTGCTTTGCTTTTCAACTATCATTTTAAGACCTAAGCTCCAAAAACCCATCATTATTATTTGGGAGAAATTACTCCCATATACACAAGGTCATGGGACCCAGCAGGGAATACATACAGAAGTATGTATGTATGTATGTATGTATGTATGTATATGTATATATATAATGCAATTCTTATGTTTATAGTTTGTCATTGAGTTTCTTTGCATTTGTCATTAGAAGAAGCCAAGAGCTTTGGTCTTTATTAGATTTTAGAACACTTAAGAATCTAAAGCTAAAAGGGATCAACCATCCGCTAGTTAACTGAATTACTTGTACAAAATTCCTCAACACTCCCAGTGGCTGACCAAATGAATTTGTAGTCTCGGTTAACATACTCTCTCCAGAATCCCCTATAATATCCCACATTAGTGAAGCAGTCTCTTCACTTAGGTGCTCTCAACTGCCAATACGTCCTAATGCATGAGGTGTGTTTCATGTAAGTATTCATAATGTCACCACTGGTTCCTGTGAATTTTAGCTTGCAACTTCAAGGCCAGCTGCAGAGATTCATTTATGCCTAGAAACCGTAAGCAATACTTTCAAAACGATACTCACTGAAGTTGACATTGCTCTGTAAGAGTTCATTCACAACTTTAGTGTTTCAGATAAACTTGTGAGAGACTGGGTCCTAAGCATACTTTCCAAGCAGGCACATCAGGTGGTCACAAAAATCCTAATAAGCATATGTAATATGAGGAATAAAAATGCTTGGTCTTTCTCTCACCAGAAATTTATTTTAGACTTGGAAAGGACAGCAAGGCAAGAGAGCAACCTTTCATCCAACCCACAGGTAATTTAAGATTCAAAGTTGAAATCAGGTACAAGAATATGGGCTATTTGAGTCAGGCATGGTGGGATATGCCTGTAATCCCACTTAGGAGATAGAGGCAGAAGGATCACAAGTTCAAGAACAACCTGGGCTGCACAGGAAGATTTTATCTTAAAACACCACAATTTAAAAAAAAGGAATACAAGTTATTTTATGGAAGGGGAAAAAAAAAAACAATGATAAGAAAAAAACAAAACCTTATAAATATCATGAAAATAACACCTGATAGGTGAGAAGAAACTTTAAACTTAACATTGTAACTAGGTCCTTTAATTGCTAGCTGTTAAGGACCTCAGCAAGAAAAATATGGAAAAACATAATCTATTAATAAACTCAACCTAGTTACAGAAAGTCTTATGTTGCCCACTAAATGTTATTTGTTCTATACTAAGATAAATGAGGATGGAATTACTAACCTTAAATACAGAATTGGTTTTCCAAGAGTGACTGTTCAATTGTTGGTATACTCTTTATTTCTTATAAGTGATGACCTAAATGTTAGAAAATTGATCAAAGAAGCCAGGTGCCAGTGGCTCACACCTGTCATCCCAAGCTATATGGAATACTGAGATTGGGAACATGATGGATCCAGGCAAGCCTGGGCAAAAAGCAAGATCCTATCTCCAAAATAACCAGAGCAAAAAGGTAGGAAGTGTGGGCTCAAGCACCTGCCTAGCAAACACAAAGTCCCTTGAATTCAAACCCCAGTATTGTCAAAAAAAAAATTGACCAATGTTGGAAAATTTTTTTCAGTCAAGTTGAATTAACCTATCTGCAATTCAAAACTCAAGTTTGAGCCTCTTTAGTTCCACATTTTAACCATCTGAGCTAAAAAAACAATGCCTTGCTTACATACTGAGAATATTGTTCCCATGCTTCTAGACAAAAGTCACATAGGCCATAAGCAGAACCCAGGAATCTCATTTCCCACCATGCTGTTATTTCTGTCTAATTATTTTAGGGCCATTTAAGTTTATGCATCTACTCTCTGGACCAGCTCTCCTAATAGCTACTACTGGTAAATGCAAATACTGTCAAAGTACTGTAACTGTGCTAGACTGCTTAAATGCATGCAAATTCTCACCACTAGGCTGCATTATCCAGGTACAATGAAGGAAACACAATCAAAAGTGACTTGTCCCATGCTACAGCTACTGAGATATGGAGCTAGGATCCAAACGCAAGTCAGTCTGGTTCCAAAGCACATATTCTTTGTACACTACACGGCACTCTCAAAGAATCTTAGAATTTTAGATGTGAGAGGAACACTATCATAATAATTACTGCCTTTTATTAAAAACCTACAGTGCAACAGGTGCTTTAAATATCTTACCACATCTTCTTGCCCTAATCAATCAAGGGAAGTGACAATATTCCCCTTCGTGGATCAGGATATATCATCAGAAAAACAACTTATCCAAGGCCACAGAATAATACCCAACATTTAAGCTGAGGCCTAACTAATTTGAAGTTGACATTGTGTTGACCGTGGCCTCAAAATAATCAGAGTGACCTCTAAGTACCCACAGTTCAACAGCACGCCATTGTTAGAGGAAACTACAAGCTGAATATGGTTACAAGAAACTTACAGTGCCGCTAGGATCACAGAATCTCAGAACTCAGAGATCTAAGAGATGTACTCAGCTCCATCATTTTGCAGATGCAAAAACTGAAGCTCAGAGGGAGACTGAAAAAGAACTTAAAGCAATGGAGAAAAGTGCAAGGCATTCCAGGTGAAGGGTATATTCTGAAGAAAAGCATACAAGTCAAAATGAGCACAGTGGTGTGTGAACTGTAACAATGTAGACAAAATGTACTGTGAGAAAAAATGAAGAAAGCCTCAGTCAAGTTGTGTGGCTAAAGGATACAATTTCACCCAAAACTTAACTTTCTTTTTATTTTTTTTAAAGCCTTGTTCACCCTCCACTGTGGAACACTCAAGGCCTAAAGGTAACACTCTTTATATCTCCACATAAAACTCAGAGCATAATTTTAATTTTTATTTTACTCGAGTACCAACTAAACTGCAATATAGCAAAGAATGCAACCTCATGTATTCTATTACAAGATAAAGTACTTGAAAGGGTTGAATTCAACTATGATATATTGTAAGAACTTTTGTAATGTTACAATATACCCCCAGTACAACAATATAATTAGAAAATATTATATATTTATTTTTTTAAATGTAGTATTGCCATACATTAATATGTAGGTTCAGGTATCACACAAAAGTGTGAAACTCCAAATTCAGGTGTAGCGGGGACTGTGTTAATGAACTTAATGCTCTTAATACTGACAACCTAGAGAAGAATTAAGTTTTCAGTGTATCTATCAAGTACATGGAGAGAGCATAAAAGTAATCTCTACGACGTCTCGGTTAGAACTACTACTTCCACTAGCCTGCAGAACTGCAAACCTATCTGGGCCCCTACCAGGCTGGCAGAAGGAGGCCTGAAGCAACTGGGCCCCTCGTCCAACAGCAAGAGGAGAGGCTGGGGAAAACAAGCTACCAGGTGAAAGAGAAAGAGCAGCCAGAAGTCACCAGGCGGACCAGAAATGCCTGTGGGGGTAAGTGTGTGGGTTGGGGGAAGAGGCAGTATCAGGAGAGCATTAAATGACAGAAGGCAAATGAAGGTGATGCTTAAAACGCCAATTCACCCTGAGAGCGATGATGTGGGGTGGACAAGAGGAGTTTGGATCTCGAACACAGAGGCCGTAAAGCAAAACCCATTCCACAGGCAGACAAGGTGAGGCAAAGATTTCAAATAAGGTCCTGCAGCTGGGGAGGAGAACAGTTCAGACTGGACTGGGAGCCCCTGGAGAGCCCAAATCAACTTGGCATCCCCCGCCCGCCCCAGCACCGTGCCGAGCATCTTGGCACAACCAGGAACTAGATCTTTATGAACAATACAAGTTTTCAAACTCCGGACTTCTTCTCAAAGTCCTAGGATCCTGGTGAGACAACACTGGGGGTCCGGGAAGGGAGAGATCAAGCAGGTCCAGTCCCAGGAAGGTCCGGGCGTGGGATTCCGAGACCAACTGCTGGCCCTCTCTGCCCACTCAGTAACTCACCCGGATGCCCTTCACCACAGTGATGTTCTCATTTTCGTCCGCCTCGAAGGTGACCCGGCGGGTGCTAGCGGTCCCGCCCATGGCTCCTTCTTCTGTTCTTGCAGAGCCCTAGCGCGGACCCACGAGAACTTCAGAGCCCGCGCGTTCACACGCGCGTGCAGGAACCAGGACTCTTCCCTTGCCTAGCGGGAGCAAGGCCACGACCCCAAGAAACAAGGAGACGGCGCGGGTCCTGAGCTCCCGCCTCCTCCGGTCACGCGCCACAACTGAACGTCTCGGGTTGGTCAGAGATGAGAAAGGCCCGCCTCTACTCGGTAAGAGTGCCCGGATTGGTTGGACCGGACCCGGATGCTATGGCAACAGATGGTGTTTTTACAACGTTTCCGGGACCCCTAAGTGTAGTGGGAATTGTAGTCTCGGTCTGACTCGATGGGTGCTTAGGTCGTTCTCGCCTTACTCCAAAAAAGCGCAATGGAAGCAAGGCATTCTGGGAGTTGTGGTCTTAACCACCTGAAAGGCCTCTAACTCAGCAACTTTCAAGCAAGTTCATTCATCCAAGAAGCATGCTTTGAAGACATTATTCTAGAGACTTAGGTTAGTGAGTTCAAAAACACAACCACTTTCGTCAAGAAACTCGCAGTTGTATGTAGGAGATGCACTTCCTTAATGAAGCCATGCCTAGATTCCTATGCAAAAATCCTTGACAAAAAACTTAATATTTCATTATTTTAGTATTAAACATCAGGGAGAGAAAAAAAAAGGAAACACACACACACGTTTGTCCTATGTCCCTATCTCATGAGCTATGTAAGGTATTTCTTTTATTTCTTTTTTAGAAAGTAAGTTTTTAATGCTATGATTTTCAAATCTACATATGAGGAAGCAAAGGAAAAAATTATTTGCACCAAGCATGCAGAACATACACTTCCCACATTTGTGTCTCTTTCCACTTCACTTACAGAAGTTAGAACATAACACAGTTAGGCAGGGGAAAGTTATTGTCAAAGGTGGCATAAATTAGCAAAAAGTTAAAGCTACATCAGACAAAGTTAAGATGATCTATTTTGGAAAGTTTCCACTTCAGTATTTCATCTTTACAACACCTAAATAATTTTTAGGTTAACGTTGTATGCATTTCATTTTTTTCCCATGTTTTTTTCCACATAAGTTTAGTCATATGACCTTTTACTTCCAGAGCATGCTATTTCCTTTAGAAATTAGGTGAATAGGGCTGCAGATGTAGTTCAAGGGTAGCATCTGCAAGGCCCTGGATACCACCTCCAGCACCAAAAAAGAAATGATACTTTTTTCAGTTAGTCCCTTTCTACATTAAAAGCAGTGGACCACAGCATACCATGGCAAGGGATCCACAGCAGTACAGTTATATTTTTGAGCTTTGGCTATGTGCTGATCCATTACTATAAGAATCCTCAAAGCATACACTATGTCTTTTCATCTCAAGGCTTGGTCAATACCACAGCCTGGATTACATCTCATGTTGTTCTTTTCAACATATGTACTTCTGATTGTACTGTGTTACTTTGAAGTTTTTAAGAATACATGCTACTTTGTACTGATTCTTGAGTATATAATATGTTTAAATAGTTATTCTACAGGGAACTAGCATATCCAGGGATTGTATATCATTTAATTAGGACCTCCCTATCCATAAACACACCCTTGCTTTTTACACAATACGTAGTATGTATTGGAGGTTCTACATACAACAGATGTTCAGGAAATGCATAGCAAAATAAAGAAGACATTTCTTGGAGGGAGCAGAGAGATTAAAAGACCATTCATTATCTTGAATATATTTACCTCCTTAGAATACTAAATCTGTGCTTTCAACCAAATGTATTAAAGATAATGAAGGTTAAGCATGAGAAGGAAGTAGGTGGCTATATTTTTTATGATACCAGAACACATAAGCGGTCTTATCAGGCAGACAATCTAAAAATGCTTTGGAATTCCTAATTCATTTCAATCAATAAAATTATGAGGAAGCCTTCTAAATTTAAAATATATATCATATTCTTGGAAAAATGCCTACTATAACAACATTAACTGTCCATGTCAATTTCAAGACCAGTCATGAGCCACCCCTTCCTGAGCCACCCAGAACCAGTGGCCTTCCTTTTTCTGTGGCAATTGATTATTAATAGTTGTTATTAATAGTCATTTAAACCAAAGGCAGCATTTACTAGCCATAGGACTACGAGCTAAAGTGCAAAGCGTTGTCCAAACTAACATAATAGCTAAACTTGAACGATTCAGATTGACTCTTTCTCCCTTTTCTTTATTTCTGCCATCACTTTCTCAAATTTGAACTTGAAATTCATAGCATACAAAAAGAAAGAAAAAGAGATAGCATGGGGACTGAACCATGAATCACTATAGAAGACTAAAGATAAGTGGAAAAAGAAACTTTAAGAAAAATAAGTCATCCAGATCCAGGGCATGGTGACACATGGCTGTAATCTCAGCTACTCAAGAGGTGAAGGTAGGAGGATGGCATACCAAGTTAAGCCCCAGGCAAAAGTGCAAGGATATACCTGAAAAATAAGCTATAAAAAGGTCTGGGGCTTGGCTCAACTGGTAGAGAAAACATAGGACCCTGAATTCAAATCCCAGACATGCCAAAAAAAAAAAAAGACAATCCAGATTGGAAGAGAAAAAGTAAAACTATCTCTATTCACATTTGACATTATCTTATAAATAGAAAATTCAAGAAATCTATTAAAGAACCGTTAAAACTATTATCCAAATTCAAGGTTGCAGGATATAAGACTGAAGTAAAAATCTCAATTGTAGTTATATATGCCAGCAATTAGCAAGCCAAAGATGAAATATTTTATTAAACAATTCCATTTGTAATAGCATTAAAAACATCTCAAATGTTAATTGATTAATAAATGGATAAAGATAAGGCAGTATTTCCAGACAAAGGAATATGGCCAGTCAATGAAAAGGAGCAAAGTGTTTACATATGCTACAATAAAGATGAACTTCAACATTGTGTTACTGAATAAAACATTATGCGAAATGAAAATCAAGACAAAAAAAAAGATTCATTGTATATTTCCATTCAGATGAAATGGGAAGAATGGGCAAATCTATAGAAACAGATCTTGGAGGGAGGGGGTGAGATGGTGATTCATTTCTAATTGGTGCAAAGTTTCATTGGAGGGGGTGACAAATATCTCCTAAAATTAGATCCTGGTAATGGTTGCAAAACTCTATAACTATACTAAAACTTACTGAATTGTGCACTTGAATGAAGATTATGGTACATAAATTGCATATCAATAAAGCTATTAAATAATGTATGGTTATCAAACATGTCAGATAATTATTTATTAACCAGTTAAGTTTGAAATAGGGCTTGTTTGGGGGTTTTTTGGTGGCACTGGAGTTTGAACTCAGGGCCTCACACTTGCTAGGGAGGTGATTTTCCCACATCAGTCACTCTGCCAGCAGAAATATGTGTTTCAAAATTGAAAAAGAGGAGAGACTCCAAGATGGCAGCCAGAGAGAGGAAGCAGAAAGCGAGCCTCCTATAGTGAAATCTTGGAGAGATGCTGGAGACACACTCTGCAGGCATAATCACTGAGAAGAGGCATAACTTTGACCCCTCCACACCTCCAGGCGGCACAAAGAATCTCCACTTCACTTTAAATGGAGAAACAAGGAGGGCCCCCAGGCCTCCAGTCGCCCGCACACAGACGGCTTGGGAAGACGCGGACCAGGTGAGCTTCGTGGTACCTCGGTACTCACACAGACAAGCCTGAGCCAGAGCAGCATAGCCCCCTGGACAGACTGACCTCCACCCAGGGAAAAAAGAGAAACTGAGTAACAAGCAATAAGAACAATAAAGACATGCGGGAAAGAGGGTGGAGCGCACTGAGCGCCAAAGACTGGGGGAAGGGAATCCTTCCTGGGACTGTAAATAAACAAGCCGGGTGGGCCGGAGAGGCTCTGGCGGGAGCGGGGGCGCGCACCCAGCAACCAGGAGCAAGAAAGCTTGTGAGAGTGGTGGAGGGAGGAAAACTCCACAGGAGAGGAGGGCAGACCCACTTCTCACGTGAACTGTAAACAAACATGGCGGCTGGCAGGAGCAGCAGCACCCAGTAATCAGGAGCAGGAAAGCTTGTGAAAGTGGCGGTGGGAGGAGAACTGCACAGGAGAGGGGGGAAGACCCACCTCCCACATGACCTGTAAATAAACATGCAGGCCTGAGAACACGGGTGCAGTGTCACCCTTCCCAGTGTGCTTGGAAAGGGGAAAGCCTGAAGCAGAGGCTCCCGCACAGGAGAACTCTGAGCAAACAAAGCCTGCGGGGCCAGGTGAGTACTAAGTTCACTCCAGAGATCTGCATAAATAACACCCCCAGCAACAGCAGGCTGACAGCAGCGGGCAGGCAAGCCACAGCTGCAGATACCATTCTCAGAACTGTCTCCAGACTCTTTTTTTTCTTTTTCTCCCTACCTTTGATGAGAGAACAACCGAATTACACCTGCATGCTGAAAAACTTACTGAAACTGTATTGCATTTGAACTTGGGACACTTGGTGGGGTTTGTTGTGTGTGTGTGTGTGTGTGTGTGTGTGTGTGTGTAGTTTTGTTCTACTTTATGTGTCCCCTTTGATGAGACAACTACAGAACAACATCTGAGGCACCATCTCCAGGATTGGAGACTGAGACAGACACCCAAATTATTAAGACTGAAACTTCATTGCATTTGAACTTGGAGGTTTTTTTTTTTGGTTTTTTTTTTAATTTTCTATTTTTCATTTTATTTTAATTCATTTTTATATATAGATATTTCTTTCATTTACTTATTTTTTATTTTTATTCTTATCTTTATTTTGTTTATTATTGATTTTCAATCCTCTCTCTGTCTCTCTAATGCCTGTTCAGCTTACTGTCAATTAGTACACTAACGCTCCCTGTTTATACCTTTGAAACCTTCTTGTCTGATACCTTGTTCTGTTTTCTCCTTCTCATCTGTGTATTTGCTTTTCCCTTTTCTTTAACTTCTTGCTTTCCATCTCAGCTCACCCTTCCATTCTAAATATTACCATTGTTTTTATTACAAGCTAGAAAATACTTAATTGCACACAGTACAGGGACAGTAACAACACCAAAGACAATGACGGGAAGACAGAAAAAACTGGGAAACCAGATTCCCCACAGCAAAAAATTAGTACAGGAACCAGAGGGGAATGAAGAAAATG